CTAGGCCATCAACAATGGGGAAGTAAGACATTCCAGTCATCTTGGCGGCTATTACAAAATTTTCCCAATTCCTGTCCAAGTGTCCAATTGTACTTTTCTACCATCCCATCAGACTGTATGGAGTGGAGAAAAGACTAGAGTTGCCAGGAAAAGTCATGATCCTTCTAGAAACTCATGACGTGTTACCAACGTCACGTGACTTCCGCTGTTGTAACAATTATTAAACAACTACAGATAATTTGCATCGCAAAAATATAAAACATTCATATTTTAATTTATTCTTTATTTAACTCCATATCGTCTAGATTTACACTACATATTAAACTGAAAACGAAGGGGGGAAGATCTAAGTGAAAAAATTCATGAAGTAATTACTGGGGATCAGTAGTGTGCGTAAGATAAAAAGCACCCATGCAGACATTAAAACAAAAAAGCAAGAGTTTTCAGGACTCCTTTTTTTTTCGAACATTTCTCCGAGTTTTTTAATCTGTTTTTTATTTTTTTCCTGCTCACTAACAGTTCCAGTAATTTCAAAAGCTGACAGATTCTAGTTATTTGCTTGCTTTGGTGAGATTGAGTGTAAGAGGCCTGTAGATATATGAAGTTTTATGGAACCCTCACTGGCTAAGACAAAACACTCAGTTGGTTCACTTACTCGAGCTAATGTGGAATCGATTATTTTCACTATTCAATTATTATTTCTAATTTTCTTGGTTAATAATAACAGTAAGCAGTGGCACAGCGGCATGTCTGCGGACTTACAACGCTAGAAACCGGGTTTCAATACCCGTGGTGAGCAGATCACAGATAACATTTTGTGTAGTCTTGTGCATAACTACAACCAAATAACAACAACAACTACTAATAGTAATAATATGACTTGATACTGAACTCATATATTATAAGTTTAAAAACGTAATTTATTGAATATTATTGAATATTTATTGAATATTGAATATTTGGTAATATTACCAAAAATGAATGTTTTTAGAAACGTCGTACTTTGAATAGATCATGCAGATTAGTTTCTTGGTTGATGAGGTACGTTTTTATTAGCCTTTCCAACCAGCTGACACATTCACCTAACGGTTATATCTGTGTATGACGTAAGAGCAGGGCCAAGAGCAATCCAATGGTTATCGTGTATGACTGTGGGTCTCAGGATTCGTGGTTAGCGTCCCATTATCGCCGAGACGGGCAAATTCGACTATTTAATTTGACAAAAGTTGCCCAACAGTTGGCGGTGAGTGTTATTGACTAGCTGCTTTCCTACTAATCGATCATATCAAAATTAGGGATGGTTAGTGCTGATATTCCCTCAGTAGGTTTGCTTGAAATCTTGCAAAACAAACACCGGTAACAGTAGGAAGGTCGATTATTTGATAGTTTCTTTGCTGTTTACGTTGACACACAAGTGTGGAGTATCCTTGTTAGAAAAGTTTTGATGTTTGCCTTTGGTTATTCAGCTGGTTATGGTTTATAAACATTATTATCCAACTGTTTTTTTTTATTCACACGTGTACCTTTTTTATAGTAGTTTATATAAGTGAATACTTCATCATATTTGTTGTCCTGGTTATAAAATCTGATATACTAATATAGTACAGTAACAACCATGTTAGCGCTTCATGTTTTCTTGGTAACGTAAATAAATAGGTCACTTGGTCTTAAGAAAAGATCCCCCATACGCCGTCAGGTTACGGGCCTGATGTAATTAATTCCTACTATAACCTATCTTTTTTATGATCTAAAACTTAAACATATCTATCTCAATAAAAAGATAATTTGATTCTACTATGATCTGAACACATTTTTAATTCCCAGATTTAAAAAAAAGGACGAAAAAAATAAAGCCCTTCTGGTCAAGAGAAAGTGCGCTACAAGCATTCTCCACTATCCTAAAAAATATCAGAATGGGTTGTTACAAAATTCATTCAATAATTAAAACAAAACTGAAACCCAACGGAGGAAGCTTTTCATTTCACAAGTTTTGTCTTTACTATAATGTTGCATGTACGTTTGCTGATTGATCATTCTGAGCTGTAAGAGAATCATGTTGCTGCGAACCTTCCTTTTTAGTAAACTATATCGTTTTGCTTCAACTATAAACACGAGATCTTAGTTGTTTAATTAACTACGCTTTTAACCAGTTAGTTGTTGAAGTACATTACTCGACTAGTTGTATTTTCAAAAGAAAAAAACGTTGTTTATTTATTATTTCAGAAAATATGACTAAGTCGTGTTAAACACGTTATCTGTTGATTAGAATGCTGAATTGGACTGTTGAATGCCAAAAATCAGATCAACAGTTGGTTGTGACAGACCCAAATTAATTCTACGCGAGGATTCTTTGCCTGTTATTACCCTCATGAAGTCTCCCATTGATTAATGATAGAAGATTATTCCCCAATTACCCTCATTATTTTCTTATAGCTGTACGTTTTCATATTACTCAGTCAGTGTTTCGAATACATAGCATTGTAAGGATGACTTTAAAGAAAGAGATCCAGATCTGAACTGCAAATTTCTGAATAATGATATTCTCATTTTGAAAATAAAATTTTTATCCTATATCGGAGCTTTGGATTTTAACACACCTGGAGAAAAAACATAAAAAAAATATGTAGGTAAAATTATAAAAAAGACAACATCAGCCCCAACAAGATATATCAGAATCTGTTGAGCCTTGTAGTTATGTGGGGTTGAATAATTTTTGCGACTAATTTGTAATAAAAAACAAAACACTTTAAATGAAGCAACGAATATCAGTAAAACAAAAGGTATTTTGTATATATATAGAGTAAGTGTTGTTCACATGCATTATACGCCTACGTTATCTTTATGAAATAATTTAACGCAGAAGAATAACTGAAAATTGAAAATCTTTTCTCATTAATCCATCGCTATACTAATATATTAAAATGCTTGATCATTCTCAAAGCACCCAACCTCACTAAATATTCCCAAGTTATAAAACGATTTTTTTAAATGACCGAAAACTGAAAGTTACTTCATTCAATAGTCATCTCTTGTATTAACTACTCAGTAAATAATGTTTCTCCTCATTGTAGTAGTACTAGAGAGAGAGCGAACATTTTTACAGGAAAACAATATTCAGAAGCGCGTTATTAACTCAGATATAATAATTCTTCGATAGATAAAAGATAAACATCCACCTATCGGAGTTAGCCTTGTTAAGTGTCTGATAAATTGTTGTCTTCAACTGCTTATAGCTTGGGGTTTGTTAGACACGGGTATAGGGGTCTGGTTTCTTACTGAATTAAATTAATTAACATTTTAACCCTATCACTATACCGGTTGGATTCTTAGTAGATTTAACTGTTACAATTTTAACTTGCTACCACTACCGGCTGGGATTTTAATGGATTTTACTGTTATAATATCTTCGTGATATCACTACCGGTAGAGAGATCTTAGTAAAGTTAACTGTTGTAATATATTTTTGCTACCACTACCGGCTGGGATTTTAATGGATTTAACTGTTATAATATCTTCGTGATATCACTATCGGTAGAGAGATCTTAGTAGAGTTAACTGTTGTAATATATTTTTGCTACCACTACCGGCTGGGATCTTAGTGGATTTAACTGTTATAATATCTTCGTGATATCACTACCGGCAGAGATCTTAGCAGAGTTAACTGTTGTAATATATTTTTGCTACCACTACCGGCTGGGATTTTAGTGGATTAAACTTGGCAATAGTTAAAAGTACACAAAGTACAAGTGAATATGTTTGTTTATTATAATGAATCCTGTGTTCATATTTGCCTACCACATACAAAAAACAATATTCAGCAAATATAGTCACGAAATCCCAGTCGTTCCAGTTTCGTTTTTAACTTCAACTCAAGTATTTTATACTCACGTACTGAATTACAAAAAGGTTTCCATCCAGCTGATATTAAAATATTTTATTCTCCAGACATAAAATATAACTAATATTTACATTTAAGCTAAATCGACTAATCTCAGACTTCGTGAAATATGTCACCAAATATATACATTTACTAAATTATCATGGTTTACTGAGTTGGTGATTTAGTTATTTTTATTAAAATGATTTTTACATATGAAGCTATATCATCAAATCTATAGAGCTGATGGCTGATTTTAGTGTTCATAGTGCTATTCAGCAGTAATATTAATACAAATAGAAATCGTATCCACACCTCTTACTACATGTGAATGCAGGGAAGCACGTAGCAAACCCGCATATGGTGCTTCAATTATAGATTCCGGAACAACCAGTGTGCTAGTGTTATTAACTGCACGAGCATGGAAACCATGAATAAGAGCGAAGTTAACCAACGACCAGAAGCGTCCATGATGGTGCGTTTAGTAAGAAGTTTACGTTCATTTCCGCGTTGAGATATGCCTTCATCTGCTGGTGATTACTACCCGCACTTTTGCGCTCGTGGTCATTTAAATATACGCAACATTTCCATTAATTACTCACAATATTTGTGCAGGGCGGTGATGAAATCAATTACCGGAGTGGATCAGAGTCGAACTGAACCTGTGCTTAACTTCACGAACGGATTAGTTTATATAAATGTGTTACAAGTTATTCAGTCAACAGTCTAGAGTCTTGAAGCTTTATTCAAGTTTGTGTTTTGAAGCGACAAAGTAGGTTGATATTTCGCTTAATATCCAGTAACTATAAGCCTTTGTTCTATTTATCGTATTCATCTTTAACTTAAGGTTACTTGTTCTGTCTGTTTCAGCTTTGTTACGGGTATTTTCTGTTTCCAATACTCAAAATCGCGAAAAGAGCGAAAGATGTGATTAATATTCATAAAAATGTCAAAACTTTTTTGTTCTTGATGTTAAGAGGGGAAAATAAAATTAAATATTTTCAGAATACTGCGTACTCCAGAATGATAATCAGGATTTTTACCACTCGTGTCACAAAGTAAATTTATTTGTGTTTGTCAAGGGAACAAGTTCAGATTTATGATTTTTTAACTTGAATTTGTTATCTATGTTCAAATTATTTACAATAGTAAGAGTATATAGTTTTCTTGTATGAAGTTTAATGATGTTATTACTACAAATGAACATTACAATGTATGGACATTTTTATAAAAGAATGTTGATATGTGAAATCAAAGTTTTCTTATTTTACTGTAGTTTTATCTATTTAAAGTTTGTTTAGACATGTTTCGCAACTTTTTTCTGTCAGCTTAGTTAAAGTACTTTATTTTTTAAGTTGTAAAAATACTACTGTGACTTTATTTTATTTCTGTTTTGTTGCACTCACTATACTGACGTTTATAAAGTTCCTATTGGTTACACTTCTTTTAGCACTTATGTTGTAGTCATATATATAAACGAATTTAACCAATTCAACTACCTATGAGATGTAACATATTGTAGCTTTGTGGATGTCGTTCAAGTCTGAATTATTCGTTTAGTTTCATATTACAGTTTCTGACACAACTTTTATTGTCTTTACGTTTTATAAATGACACTGCTTTTCCTTTTAGGTATAATACATTTCATTCATGTACAATGTTTCTCTAGAAAGTATGAACTACCAGCATTTAAACTCCCGAAAGCAATTGAATGTATTTTAAAGTAGTATTGGCTAGTTACTGTATATGCGGCGACTAGCAACTGCATGTACTTAAATTAGTGTTGCCTAGCAAGTATACGTGCTTTAACTAGTGTTGCCTAGTTACTGTATATGCGGTGACTAGCAACTACATGTACTTAAATTAGTGTTGCCTAGCAAGTATATGTGCTTCAACTAGTGTTGCCTAGTTACTGTATATGCGGCGACTGGCAACTACATGTACTTAAATTAGTGTTGCCTAGCAAGTATATGTGCTTTAACTAGTGTTGCCTAGTTACTGTATATGCGGCGACTAGCAACTGCATGTACTTAAATTAATGTTGCCTAGCAAGTATATGTGCTTTAACTAGTGTTGCTTAGATACTGTAAATGCGGCGACTGGCAACTGCATGTACTTAAATTAGTGTTGCCTAGCAAGTATACGTGCTTTAACTAGTGTTGCCTAGTTACTGTATATGCGGCGACTGGCAACTGCATGTACTTAAATTAGTGTTGCCTAGCAAGTATATGTGCTTTAACTAGTGTTGCCTAGTTACTGTATATGCGGCGATTGGCAACTGCATGTACTTAAATTAGTGTTGCCTAGCAAGTATATGTGCTTTAACTAGTGTTCTCTAGTAGCTGTACTTTATTTTGACTTTAGAAACCCCTTACCAAATGAAATAAATTAAGGACGCTTGGTTTTTATATAAACTTAGCTTCATTTCGTTCTAGTATAGTATACTAGTAAATACTCAAATACTGTTTTTTCACTGAGAGATTTGAGTTATGCTTTTTAAGTTTGCTTTAGTTAATTCCTAGATCACTTTTATAACGTTTAGATAAAAATACCACATTATCATAAAGCACACTCGTGGTTCATGATAGGGATCGCAAGGAACTGCACGAAACCCTAATAGAACGTTCCGGAAAAAAAGCGCCTTAAACAGTAAAGATTTAGCTCAAGCTCAAACAACACTTTATAACCTTTACTATTGACTGCTAAGGCTGTACACAGATAAAAATGTACAAAAAACACCCATGTTAGACTTACAAGGAAAAGAAAATCCTCTTTTGTAATTCTTCTTCTTCTTCTTATTTTTCATATTATTTGTCTTGTCTTTATAATTTTCAAATCACTTAGATTAAAAATACCACATTATTTTAATAAACATTTGTGTTTCTCCTCAAAATATCAATGGATTTTTTAGAATACAATTTTTCTGTATTTTCCTCCCTAGTTTTATAGCTATAAACACGTGCAGTAAGCTTCTAATTTTGAAGCCACAACACGTATACGTTTCTAGTTTTGGATCTACAAGTACACATAGCAAGTTTCTTGTCTTATTTGTAAATATATATATATATATATTTGTCATGGCTTTCTATTTTTATAGCTAGCAAAGCCACTCGTTGAGTGAGTTTCTTTATTAGAATTCTACAGTGATCAGATAGGAATATCTGTACTATTTTGTAGTCTTTGTAGTCTTTTATTTCACAGATCTGCCATAACTTGCACAGTTTTATATATGGTTTTATATTATCATTCTGTAGTGATTTACTGATCTGCAGGCAGCTTAGAATTTGTGCAGATATCAAGCAACTAGTTTTTAACTGGAAAGTCACCAGTAGTTATAATTCTGGTGGACCGAGAATCTTCCATAGTGACTACATTTTCCATCAAATAATTTCTTTCGTAAGTTGTTTTCATAATTACTTTACATTTCTATAGCTATAAGTACCTCTAGAAGTAAGAACAGTTGAACTTTAACCTAAAATATCGTCTCCTTTAAAAGTAATAGTCATGTGTATTAAAATTGATAAAATATTTGTAATCAAAGCTTTTATTAGCCGAGTCTGTGTTTCAAAGCATTTATTTTCCTGATGCAAAAACCTTCGAACAAAGAGGGGATCTTATTGATGACATGTGTATCTTCGCTTTCCAATTGGACAAGATGAAAACTAAATGAAACTTGTTCTTTTTACCTACAGGTGTCGAGCTTCGTCGCACCACCTTTGTTATCCAGTCAAAAACGTGTCTGTGTTTTGGTTGACTATTAATTTTGTCCATAAAACTTTAAATTTTACTGCTCTATTTTTCTGTGATTTATATGTTTTACTTTTTTGAAATAAAGAACTAATTACTGATAAGCGTGTTTGCGAAATTATACCTCAATAACGCAACTTAAACTTTCGATAATTATTTATATTGACCAGCACCTCCAAGCCTTGGAAATAAGAACTGCAAATGGATTTTATTTTATCACTGCTGTATGGGTTGCTGTTATTTGGAATCGGCAAAAGTTCCAGTTCTGAAGATGTAAGTTTCATTTCACCGTAAAATAATTATGTAACATGATAATAATTAAGAAATAACTTAGTTTTTGTTTGTAATTAAGCACAAAGCTACACAACGGGCTATCTGTGCTCTGCCAACCACGGGTATCGAAACACGGTTTCTAGAGTTGTAAGTCCGCTGACATGCCGCTGTGCCACTGGGGGGGGGGGCTTAAGAAATAAAACTTCGTTCATCGCCCATTTTTAGTTTTCACAAAAGAATTGGTCAACTTTTAAAGATGACACAGAGTGACTTATTTTACTTTTACGTAAGTTTTAATAAACCATCACGTCAACTTGTAAGGATGGCACAGAGTGGTTTATTTTACTTTTACGTAAGTTTTAATAAACCATCACGTCAACTTGTAAGGATGGCACAGAGTGGTTTATTTTACTTTTATTGTGAAATCATTAGAAGGAAGTCTTTGTGGAACAGACGTTTTCATTAAAAAAACTGAATGCCTTTTAAATTAGAAGTTGTAAGTAGCTAACTTGTTTGTGACAATCATGTTGCAGTGCCTTTCTTCCACTGTCATATATAAAATAAAAATATATATCAATATATGTAGTAAATATGACAGGAAAAAAGGTTAAGTTCTCTTCTGATTCAAATATTTTTGAAATACAATGATAAATAAGAGGTGAAATTTCAAGTTTAATTTTAGTTGAAATCCGCATTTGGATTTACTATTAACAAAATTATGTTAACTAGCTTAGATCTGTTCCAAAGTCCCTCGGAGAGTCAGCAGTAATTATGTCATGATACAGCTTTAGTACCACACTACCTATGACTAATAAACATTTGGAGATAACTCCAAATTGATTAAAGTAATTTTATTAATAGTAAGTATATTGAAATTCCATCAGTTATTCGTACCTTATATTCACTTTTAGTGCTATTTTTTATTGATAGTCCTGGAAGAACCTTCATACGCTGATGAATGAAGATGAGCTTAAACAACTCTTCTCTGTAAGCAGTGTTAAAGATGGTGTAAAAGAAGGATTGGTGACCAAAAGTCAGTATCAAAGTTTCTAATTTACTAATATCACATTGGAATAGTTATGAAAAATTTATTTTTTGACGTTAGATAAACAGGTCAATGGGACCAAAAGGAATATTTTTATGTATAAAAAAATGTTATTATAGAAAGTCGTTTTATAATATTCAAGCAGTCTGATTATAATAGAATTTCACCTAATGAAGATTTTGATTATATTCTAATATTTTTAGTTTTTACAGCATTATTTCTGAAACACAAAAAAGTAATCTACTACTGAAAAAAAAAAACATGAATTTTCTCGCCCTTTACCATAAAGCCTCAGTTTTAAGTATTCGAACACTAATTGCTAATAGAACATCATACAGTACTTCACGACATCAAACTATTTTATGCAATACAAGTTGATGAAGGGTTGAAACACGCCTCTAACAAGTTAAGAATGTGAGGATAGCGAAGCAACATGATGTTTAATGTAAATATAAGAGGTTAATTTACACTGTTTAAGAAGTATTTTCCTGTATATGACTTTGTATTATTCTTTTCACATATTCTACAATCCGCTAAACTCCGGGCTTCATTTTATCTGGGCATACCCTTGGGGCCATAAAGGTCACTCTGAATAACTACTGTGTTATTACGTTTGTCTTAATCTAAGCTATTCATTTCTTTATGTATAATTTTTTATTCTTTATATTAACCAGTTGTTTATTTTCATATTTAGTATTACATTACTTTTAATATCTTTGGCGTAGACAAGATCGACAAGTAGATCTGTTTCATAGTATTTATAGCAATAAAATACATTACAACAAACAAATAAATAATAACAGAAAAATACTAAGGCAAGCGCAACGATAAAGTGGTCACTCAGAGCGACCTTTATGACCTCAAAGATATGCCTGGATGAAATAGGACTATTCATTGAAAATAGTACTGGGTCTTAGAAGGTTCAATAAACCTGGCGGCGGGCGAAGCTTATTATTACGTGGTTTCTTCTTGATTTTTCAAGTTACCGAAAAACGAAGAAACATAATATTGATTCATGCTGTATTTCAGTACCGAACTACAAAGTGGTTTTTGTTCGAATGCGCAGAAGCAAAGACCCGACAGATCTATTTGATACTATTCGCCCAGAGCGCAACCTGAACGACAATACAGATTCAGAAATAGTTTACCAGTTGGAGTTGTATGGTCAGCAAGTAAACCTGAAACTTCGAAAAAACATACACTTGATATCACCAAACTTGCGGGTGGTGAAAACAACCGAAAACGGAGAGGAGCTTGTGAGCGTTCCCGCAAAAAATTGTCACTACCAGGGAAGCAATGACAACAACAACATCACTGCTGCATTAAGTAATTACGACGAAACCAGCGGCATGGTAAGATGTTCAGCTTCCAAGTACGTTGTTCCTTTTTCGTGATAAACATGTTTCTCTGTTTTAATATATCTACTTGAAAATTACGATAAACGTCTAAAAACTGATGTAAGAAAAATCAATAGCTATTTGTCCTTTATTTCAACTTCTGTTTTGTTGTAATTGAAACTTCACCAAATGTCAGTCCGGAATTACACGAGCTCTTTGGTAAGCAGTTTTTTTTCTTGGCTACTCGAATTCAATGGACTAACTTTGATTTCAAAAGCAGGGGAGTTATTGGCCGTGAATTTTCACTGGTTGTAGTGGCGACTATTTACTGACCAATGGTAACACAAGTAATTACTGAGAAAAAAGGTATAATTTCCAATGCAAAGGAAATATATCTCCATCTTTTAAAAAGTACTGAGATATACCCCCCCCCGCGTCCACGTGACAATTACACATATGCAAAAATTGACAATTAAAACTGACTATCAACAAATTTTCGATTGTCAGTCGAATTTCCTTGGATGGCTCACTGCTATATTTTCAACAATTACCAATTTTTTGTTATCAGATGGAAATTACAATATAAATTACACGTGTATATTTGGCTTAGCTCTCCTGTGACAAATGAACATGAAACGGTCAGCCGTCAATAACGTACCTGTTGTTCTATATAGGCCCTCCCATCCACTTTATTAAACTCTAAAATAAAAATATAACATTCAGAATCAGTCCTTATCATTTAACTATTTATAAAACCTTCTCTTAAACTCCTTTAAATTATCTATATCTACCACACCTGCAGGCAATCCATTTCAAAGGACAAGTACCTCTAAAATAAAGCTGTATTAGATGAAGATGACTCTTTTCCTGCCAAAATTTATATTTGTGTCCCCTAGTCTTACCATTCTCACCATTAAGTACAAAAAATGTGATGCATTAACACTATATATTCCTTTACAATATTAAACACCTGAATCAAATCTCCTCTAAGTGTTCTTTTTTTTGGAAAAGAAAATTCAGAGACCTTAACCTATCATCATTTGACCTCCTTTCCTGCCCAGGTACCATCCTAGCAGCCCTTCTCTGAATCCTTTCCAACAATTCACTGTCCTTTCTAAGGTAAAGCACCCAAGACTGAACACAGTATTCCAAATGCGGCATATCCAATTATCTATGCAATGGCATTATAGCCTCTTTGGACTTGTAATCAGTATTTCTGAAGATACAGCCTAAAATCCTATTTTCCCTGCAATTAGCAAATGTACATTGCTTGGATGGCTTAAGAGACCGATTAATCAGAATACAAACGTCATTTTCTTCTATAACATTGTTAAAGTTATTTCCATCAAGATTATACTCATTATTGAAATTATGATATTCCACATGTATTACCTTGCAATTATTATAATTAAAAGCTATTTGCCATTTATTCGCCAAATTCAAAAATCAATCTAGATCTCTTTGTAAAACAGCAGCATTTTCCTCACAGCCACCAACACTCGGAACTTTAATTACATCAGCAAGTTTAAGTAATCTATTGACCATTTCTTTAGCTATATCATTAATACAAATTAAAAAGAATGAAGGTCCTAACAATGAGCCCTTGAGTACCTCACTTGCGACATTAATCCGGTTTGACTGAACTTCATTTATAACAATGAGCCCTTGAGGTACCTCACTTGCGACATTAATCCGGTTTCTGACACCTTTAAACTGCAGTATTCCAGATGGGCAACCTTACGATAAATCATTCTTCGATAAACCGGTGACGTAATAATAATTACATGTAATTTTTTTGTATTAACAAAAGTGGAATTCAAATCAAATAAGCATCAATAAAATTTCCTTAATAACAGTTAAAAATACAAAGCATTTGGTACTAGTTAGAGTATCCGTCCGTTGGACGGGTGAAATAAAAACTCGTTTATAAAAAAAGTTAGGAAATTGTGCTTCTATTTTTTCTTAACATAATAAACACTAAAAGTGGAATAAAAATATAAAAAGGCATCAATACTGAATACGTGCTCTTTTCAATAATTCTGCCAATATGAAGTTAGATGAGGGGTCCAACTTCCTCGTGACCTTTTTCATTTCATCCCGTATCACTGTGTCAAGTTTGGTGCTGATTGCTCAAGAAATGTGGAAACGTATATTTATATAGATTTACAACTTAGACAGTACGTTAGGCGACACTAGCGGTAAACTACCAAATCAGAGAACATCTATGTCTCAGACTTAGTCGTTCCTATATATACATAATTTAGGATTGCTGACCAAATGAGTAGTCAGAAGCATCCACCGTCTACGCTGCCATTAGCTAAATACTGGAATAACGCCCCCTCGGCTTAAAGTGCAGTGTGTTTTCATGATATACCACGGTTCGAACCTTAGACCTACCAATACGCAGCCGTAACCAGTAGCCGCAATATAGAATACAGACTATATGTCAGAGTTATGTAGTCCCGGGGCGAATTACACTTAAAGTTTTCTTCACTTATAAAATAAAGAGTGTATATGGGACTTGGCCTTGAAAGTCGAATTAATATATGTATTTCATTTTTTGATCCATCAACATAATGGCACGTTCATCTAAGCTGATCTAAATTAGAAACAATTTTACAGACAGGGTTACTATTTTTGCCCAACCAAGTTTTGAAGATAACACCAGTGCCACTTCGGCTCAGGCGTATGTTGGGGAAAAGACTGGCACCCAAAGACGGATCTCTAGGCCCTGATGACGAGGTTGTTGCGCATATCGTCACTCACGAAGACGAAGCAGAGTCCACGCTTGCCGTTGATGGTATGCTTCTTGTTTATTAAAAGATTTTACACTGAAATGTGTTTTTAATTAAAGTAAATATACCTTGTAAATAAAGACTAGTAAATATAAATGTATAGTTTGATCACATGAATCTGGCTTTATTGAACTGTTAACACGATGCTTGTATAAGGTGCTTCTATAACACATTGATTGAGTAAGGAGCTAATGTTAGCAAGTTGCTTAAGTAAGGTGCTAGTGTTAACATCTTGCTTGAGTAAAGTACTTCTGTTATCACATTGATTGAGTAAGGAGCTAATTTTAGCACGTTGCTTGAATAAGGTGCTTCTGTTAACACGTTGATTGAGTTAGGTGCTAATTTTAACCAGTTGCTTGAGTAAAGAGCACGTTGAGAAGGCTCTGTTGAACACATGCAAATTATTAACATGTTCCGCATAAAAATGTTACTTTGTCATCAATTTAACACCTTAAAATGAATTAAAATCATGTATCAAACAATAGTTAATTAGAATCATCTATCAAACAATAGTCAATTAAAATCATGTACAATAGTTAATTAAAATCTTGTATCAAACAATAGTTAATTAAAATCATCTATCAAACAATAGTCAATTAAAATCATGTACAATAGTTAATTAAAATCTTGTATCAAACAATAGTTAATTAAAATCATCTATCAAACAATAGTCAATTAAAATCATCTATCAAACAATAGTCAATTAAAATCATGTATCAAACAATAGTTAATTATAATCATGTATCAAACAATAGTTAATTAAAATCTTGTATCAAACAATAGTTAATCAAAATCATCTATCAAACAATAGTCAATTCTTTATGGTTAACAACAAATAAAACTTTATTAGCTGAGACTTATTTTTACTTTTGAATAATTCAGTTTGTGAACAGTTTTATTTTTTATGGACTAACAACCTCTCAATAATCACAAATCGTATTATCACTGACTGTGTTGTCTATTCTATCAAGATATTATACAAAGAACCTACTCGTAACTTTATGGCAATCAAGATAGATTGGTAGAGTAGTGTAATTGTTTATGAGATGAACCATCGTGGGTGACACAAAGAGGGCGTTGCTGTTGCAAATCTAGTAAAATATTATTAAATTAAGATTTATATATTCTTTATTTTAATTTCGTTAATTATGTTTCTTTGTTTGGAGTTAAGCTGCACAATGGGTTATCTATGCTCTGCCCACCACAAGTATCGAAACCCGGTTTCTAGCGTTCTAAGTCCTCAGACATTCCGTTGTGAAACTAGGGAGCGTTAATTATTTACAACAATGTTAAGTTGCAAATACGTTTTGCAATATTGTATTTAACACTATGTAACCTGTAATTATGCCGTTATTTACCATTTATTATTCATTCTTTTTTCTTAAATACTATTATTGGTTGGGTTCAAATAACTAATGAGAAAAGAGGTACAATAGCTTATTTTTTATAACAGTTTAACTCTTATTTAATGAGCAACTATTGTTTGATTGATATAAAAATGGCGTCCTAGGTTGACTACTTCGTTCCTCTGATATCTTTTTTCGAGTAACATTAAATAGTTTAATGTTAGTTCGGTTTTTAGTAGTGCAAAGTAGTAGTTAAGTGTTTCTTTTTAGTTATGATCACAGTAGTTAATAGTTATAATTATCAAGGAGTTCCATTTCTATGATATTTGTAGAGAACAGTTTGAATGATGAATTCATTTTGCTAACCTAAACTGTGCCATAAGATGTTAAGTGATAACTGGCTGGAGAGCATTTTGTTATCTTTCTATCTTACAGAGTAGTTTTCTTCATTATTTTTGGTGTCCCAAGTTGCTATGAGGAAGTGGCTGAACTTATGTCTTCTTTTTTTCACTTATTTATTCTGTAAAAAATTCCTGTTTTAAACTTTCAAGTTAAGAATAACTCACCTTTACTTAATGCTTCTTTGAGAACTCCAATTCGACGACGAGCTTATCCTGGCAGAGTTTGAAAATGAAGGGACAGGAGATGAGAACGAGGTTAACGACGTCACGAAGAGGAAAAGCGAAGATAAAAAAATCGAGTTAGCTGTTTTTCTTGACAAAGAAGCTTATGATATTTTTATGCCTTTCTTGAAAACCGAAGAGCAGCTGAGAGATACAATTCTGGGATTTGTTAACCAAGTATAGTGAATTAATTTAATATTTATTAATATTTTAATTTCATCAAAATGTCGTCATCATTGATAATATTCAATTTGGAGTTAAAAGTAGATAAATAGGTTGATATTAATTAAAATCATAAACCTAATTCTGATTTGCAATAAAATGATAAAACATTACAGTTCACAAACTGTAAGCAGCTGATGGTATAAATTGGGTCTAATTAATAGTATGTCTGTCGTATCCCAGCCGATCCATGAGGGATGATTAGTGCAGATAGCCCTCGAGTAGCTTTGCGTAAAATTCATCTTATAAAGATGCCTCGTCGGCACTGGATAAAGCAGATATAGTATAGTTAACATATTATTACGATTTTTTTTCAATTTCACCATTTGGCTCGTATATAATTAATAGATCTGTGTATTTTCTCATAAATAGTTGAGGTTTTGTAACTTTAATAATGCACTAAGAGAAAGTGAAAGATAAAGCACAGAATACTGTACTTGAGTAGCGACCTCTGTGGATGAATTTACCTTAGAAGTTTTGAGTAATGTTTTAGACTGGTGGCACAGGCGTTACATGTAAAATCGAGACTGTGAATAAACTACGTTCACGTATTGGCAGTATTACGTATCTCAACCGCAAAATGTAATTATTGAAAGTCCTAAACCTGATATACCCCGCTATCAATTTCAATTGTTTATAAAGTCTTACAAAAAGTACTTTCTGAAATCAATGTATTTTATACTAGTAGAAATGACACTAATCAGAACGCAGTAGCACTTAAAATGACATCTTCGCTTTCTGTTGATATTGACTAAACGGTTGAAATTGTATAGCGCTTAATAATTTATTAGTCAAAATCAGTTCATCAGAGCCAAGAAACAGCCTTAACCAAGCCTTATCAGTTCATCAGAGCCAAGAAACAGCCTTAACCAAGCCTTATCAGTTCATCAGAGCCAAGAAATAGTCTTAACCAAGCGTTCTTTAGAAACTATGCAGTTCTTTAAAATAAACAACGAATGGAAGAGCCATTGTATTATTTGTAGTTATGTTTTTTTACTTTTCCACAAAAACCCAACTATGTCATCCTTATTTAACAAACTGTAATACAAAATGTTTTAAGCGATCTAAACAACGAATGGAAGAGCCATTGTATTATTTGTAGTTATGTTTTTTTACTTTTCCACAAAAACCCAACTATGTCATCCTTATTTAACAAACTGTAATACAAAATGTTTTAAGCGATCTTCAGTTTTCTTTTTCATCGTATTCTTATCTTTGACAGATGCAAGCAATTTATTTTCATCCTTCACTGGGCGAAACTGTCCAGATTATCCTGGTGTATCTGGAAGTCCAATCATCCGCTCCGGTAATGAATGTATATCTCATTTGTTTGTGTCACAAACTGATAAAGATAAAATAAAATTCCAATATTTCTTATTTGTGGAAAACATTGTTTCTAAACAGATAGCTCATATAATAATTGATGTTTCTACATATTGTCTGTTCCTCGTTTAGAAAGGATTGGATAATCTGGACGGAGACCGAATGAATGTACTACGTAAATTCTGCGAATATCAAAAAGATAAAAATCGTGAAAGTGACGATGACGATAAGCACTGGGACATGGCTATGTATCTGACTGGGTAAGTGGCCATTTTATCGTCTGGTTATATACATAGGCACAGAAACATAGCACATTATTTTTATGAAGTGTGTTATCTTTCCTTCGCGTATTAAGCCTAACTATGTAGAACTCCAAGTAAAAAATATTTTAAAATATCAAAGATGTTTCTTGGAATTTAAGAGCTTAGTATTTACTGGCATTCCAATTGAAGATATAAATTTGTTAATGTATAAGGATTTGAGTTTATAGATTAGTAATATATTAAATTATAATTCATACAGCTAAACTAACTCTTTAAATATCGTATTTTTTTTTATATCGCAGTGATTCAGTGTGATAAGCTACATATTTAAAAACTTTCCTTTTGATATGATTTATATCTTTCCAACAGACACAATCTCTACCTTAAAACTGGGGCTAAAAAGTCTTTTGAGACGATGGGTAAGTAATTTTATCAAGAAAATGTTAATTTATCTCACAAAAATCCAAAATATTCAATTTCAAAAGTGTAACAAAATCGAGGATTTTTCGCGTTTCATAAAAACGATTTACTTACGATAATAGAGTGACGTATTGATAATACATTACAGTCACAGATAGACGTTTTTTGTACATATCACAAGGAATATTATTCATATAAAGATGTATATAACAATGTAGTAATAAAATCCTTAAAATTTAAAGGAAGGAGCTTTGAAAGTTCTCTATAGAAGAGAAAACGTCTCATAGTAGAGATGAAAGCTGAACAACTGAATAAAAAATTCAAAGCACAGAACAAGACCTGAAATACCGTTCTTAGAAATGCAATTAACCGTCAATATAATTGAAAATTTTACGGACAGACTTGTTTTCAAAGAAGAGCTCACATATGAATTCTTTCTTCAAAGATGTCGTACGACATTCTCTGGAGAGAAAAAAAAACAAAACGGAAAGTTTAATTAACTTCTTTTATAGAGAATCTTTAAAACTGCAGAAACAGAGTTATATTATTTGTTAGTGAGTTATAATAATAGTTTCGTGTATGTATTAAACAGTTTTGTTTCATAGATATTGGCTCATCTTAAATACAGCGACGATGCTGTAATTAACCAAATGTCGTTGTTTAAACACTACTATCTAGGTGAAAATGAAAGGCAGCTAATGGAGCTTTATGTCTTAAAATATGACGACGAGGTTTAAAAAGTCTGTTTAAGACAGTCTAGTTTTCTAGATACCTCTAACACTCCAGGTTTAGGTATAGATTTTGTTATTGAACGTCATCTAAGATGTGTATTGCAAAGTTTGAGAGCTATAAGGGTTTCATGGTTTTTGTGTGTCACGTCACCAATTTTGTAAGTTGTGATGCAATAGTTAGTTTTGGTTTTGTTGCTTATCGAATCATTCATAACCTTTAGCAGGAGTTATATGTTGTTTAACCTATTTTGAGCACTTTTACTTCTGTTTCTGGTGGGCTTGATGGTGAGGACACTCGACTCAAAATCTGCGGATCGCGAGTTCGAATCCCTTCACCTCATATGTTTGCTCCTTCAGTTGTGGGGGAGTTATAATGTGAAGGTTATTCAAGAGTTTGCGATGAGTGGTATTGACTAGCTGCTTTTCCTCTAGTCTGTCACTTCTAAATTAGGGATGACTAGCGAGACGTTGTACATTTATTTCCATTTTAAACTTGTAATAAAGTTTTCTTCGTCACCCATTCAAACCCTCTTCAGACTTTATCATACCCAATCTAAATAAGCCATGGCATATGGTTCGTTCACATCATTTCCCCAAAAGGGGGCCAAAGGCCACCTAGAGGGTCACCTGTTTTAACCACTCGCACCAGTAGTATGTTTTCTGGCATTCAGTCAGTAGACACTAAAATGACGTCACATAAGGGATGCTTAATGCTACAATTTCTACTATCGTAACGTTCGTAAAATGAGTAGTTTTAATTGTTGACTTTCTTGAAATTCTTACATCGGCTGTCTTGTTTTTAGCCAGTTAATTTTTTTAAAGTTCTTTCAAAACGTTTCATTCATCGCTCCTTCAAAGCCATCTTTAATATTTACTTCTTTTAAAACTTCAAAACTGGTTTCAAATATTTACTTGCTTAACTTAAAAACTGCATTATTCTTTACTTTCTTCCAAGCTGATCTTATTTGTTTACTTATTTCAAAGCTATTTCATTGGCTGTGTTTTTTTTCAGTTGACTTATAATCTTTACTTCCTTGAAAATTGTTTCATTAACTGTTATCACCATACTTGACGTCAAATGCTTAATTCTTTGCAAACTGTTTCATAAGCTTTCTGTTTTAAAGCCTACTTTTCTCCAAACACTTTCATCGACTGTAATCTTAAAAGCTGGTTGAAGTATGTTTTTCTTTTCAAAGTCTTTCATAGGCTGTCTTCTTTAAAGCTTATTGAATTTTTTTTTTCAAATAAACTCTTTCATCATCTATCTTCGCAGAAATATGGGATTTTCTTTGCTAATTGTTTCATCGACTTTCTTCTTTTGACCTTTGCTCTAGGACTCGCTCCAACTGCAGGTGTGTGTAAGAGTACCTCAGCGTGTTTCATAAGTGAATTCGGTGTCACGAGTGAGCTGGGAAAACCATTCCCTTCTGCTGGATTTTTGGCCACTTATGTAGCAGCTCACGAAATGGCCCACAAGTGAGTAGCTTTGATATATATATATTCCAAATTTCATTTATTAGAGCAATCTGGCGAATTTCTCTGTTCAATAGAATATGTTATTCATTTTCCCTTCACTTTTTGTTGCTGTTGTTATCTTAATACCAAGTTACACAGTAGGCTATCCGAGGGGAATCAAACCCAGGGTTTTTGAGTTGAAGTCAGTAGACTTATCGCTGAGGCACAGGACTTTCTACTCATAACAAGAATAATATGATGTGTTTGTTTTTTGTTTAATGACTGAAGTATTTCATTTAAAGTTTGATAGAAGTAATTGGATATTATTATTTTTATTATCCGGTAGAAACTGGAAGATTACAATAATATTACACTCAATTGAGTGAGTGTTTTATTCCTGCATTACTCGTCTACTTTAGTTTTGGACAGTGTTGAGTTTCACTACGGCTCAGGAGTAATCTTGGGCTTATAACACTAAACTTTGAGGTTCAATCCCTGCAATGGGTACATTGTCAATAACCCACTGTACAGTTTATTACTAAAAAAACAAACGAATGAATGGTGGTGAAGGATGGTGTGAAAGCAGCCTGGAACAGTAATCAATATTGAAAACAACAATAAACCTTCATTTAGCATAATCTATTGATCACGATATATATATGTTTTGTTCTTTAGTTTAGGAATGCATCATGACGGATCCGACACAGAAATTACAAAAAAATGCGATTCTAATGGATACATAATGTCACCAAGTCGTGGAACGTCGAAAGAAAACACATGGTCTACATGCAGCAAAGAAGCGATAAAATCTTTTAAGTAAGAAACATTTTTTTATTATTTGATATAAAATTGTAGAGCATTTTTTAAGTTCTACTTTTATTTGAAGGAAGAGCAGGAGGATCGTGAGAAGAAAATGACACAAGTAGTTAACAAATGTAGCTATAATTCTGCAAATAAAATATACAAAATTCGTTCAGACGAAACCTTGACCACATAATTGCTGTACCTTGAAGGAGCTTTAATTATTTATTCAAATTTTCAAAAGAAGCCTCTTAGGAAGACAGATTTATAAAAATGGCTCATCCCTTATTGTACATCTCAAACAGAAAAACATAACGTAATTACTCCTTATATGTTCTTCTGATCTAAACCAAGTGGTTCTTAAACTTTTCAATTCCGTATGTGTTCTGCTCTAAACCAAGTGTTTTTTAAACTTTTCAATTCCTTATACATTGTTTTGTTCTAAACCTGGCCCTGCAAGGCCAGGTGGTTAGGGCGCTCGACTCGCAATCTGTGGGTCGCGGGTTCGAATCCCGTCACATCAAACATGCTCGCCCTTTCAGCCATGCGGGCGTTATAAAGTTTCGGTCAATCCCACTATTCGTTGGTAAAAGAGTTACCCAAGTTGACTAGCTGCCTTCCCTCTAGTCTTACACTGCTAAATTATGGACTGCTAGCGTAGATAGCCCTCGTGTAACTTCGCACGAAATTCATTACAAACCAAAGCAAACCTGCTCTAAACCAAGTGTTTTTTTAACTTTTCAATTCCGTATATGTTCTTCTGTTCTAAACCAAGTGGTTCTTAAACGTTTCAGTTCTTTATATGTCGTTTTGCTCTAAAGTAAGTGGTTCTTAAATGTTTCAATTCCTTATACTTTGTTCTGCATTGTTCTGCTCAAAACCAAGTGGTTTTTAAACTTTTCAATTCCTTATATGTTGTTCTGCTCTAAACCAAGTGGTTCTTACACTTTTCAATTCATTATACGTTCTTCTGTTCTAAATCAAGTGGGTATTATAATTTTTAATTCCTTATATTTTGTTCTCCTCTAAACCAAGTGGTTCTTAAACTTTTCAATTCCTTATATGTTCTTCTGCTCTAAACCAAGTGGTTTCTTAAACTTTTCAATTCCTTATATGTTCTTTTGCTCTAAACCAAGTGGTTTTTAAATTTTTCAATTCCTCGTATGTTGTTCCGCTCTAAACCAAGTGATTTTTAAACTTTTTAATTCCTTGTATTTTATTCTGCTCTAAACCAAATGGTTATTAAACTTTTGGTATAATCGCGTTATTCATTGTTCTCACGGACCCCTTCTCCAAACTACTAAAATTACTGAACTGGATAGAAACTCAGAAAGAAAAAGAGAAAAGGTTCTTCGACATTATGGTGTCCAGAGTGTACTTAATAGCTTAATTGGAAGTTGTAAATGTCCCATACATTGCTTTCTTGGTTGTAACTAAATATATAATTTTACTTTAAAACGTAATATTTAGGTTCTTAAATGTGTTCCAGTATTTTAAATGAAGAATCTGTTTCTATAGAGTACCGTGTTTAAACGAAGGAGGAACTAGAATGGACAAAAGTCTTGATCATACTAAGTACGAGCTAACACCTGGGCAGGTGTGGGATGCCTATGAGCAATGTAAACTAATGTTAAATGACGATGACGCCACTCTGTATAATACTACCGTTCTAGAGGTAAGAAAGACTTTGTACCACTATGTATAATATTACCGTTATATGGGTAACAAAGATTCGGTTCTACCCTATATAACATTAAAGTTATACAGATAAAAACATCGTTTATCTTTTGCATGATACTACAGGTAATACAGTTTCGCTCATCTCTGTATAATGCTATGCTGTGAACGCCTTTTCCAAGCTGGAGAAGCATTGTTACAATTAATTTACTTGTCATCAGACGTTAGTTTAAGAACTTTTATATTCTTAACTTTGTTTCCTAAGAAGTAGATACAGATTAATATGGTGAACGTGGTGTGGTTGTAATACTATTGTTACACATTCTACTAGTTCTTGAAAACTTAGCTTTGTAATATGTATCCACTTCCTTAGGGATTTTCAAGAACTAGTAGAATGTATAACAATAGTATAACAACCACACAACGTTCACCATATTCATTGCTAATGATGTGTTTCGCTCTATCTAGAGCTCATCAGGTCGGTTGGGACACAGCAAACACTATTATATAAGCCATTTGTTTCAACATTAGTTGTTATGGCGTGAACACCTTTTTCTAGTAAATTTCAATTTAGATCTGCATAACAAATATTTCCACAAAATCGATAACAAAAATGTTTTCCTAAACAGTCAACAGCATCCAACTTTTCTAATTCGTTTCTCAAAATGTATCTGCAATTATAACAGACGTTTAAATTACTATTTCAGTCTCTTAGTGCACTATTATTTAGCTATTGTTGTGTGTGTGAAAATATTTAGATATGCATGATAATATACTCTTTATTTTTCATTAATATGTTATTTGAAATTTTAGTTGGTGTGCGAGAAAGTCATCTGTAAGACGTCTGCAAGGGAAGGATACTACGTCGCAGGACCAGCTTTAGAAGGAACTTTCTGTGGCTCTGATAGTGTAATAAATTTAGTAATTTCTTGTTTTAAAGATAAAAACTATTCTTGTATTTAATTTTTGTTTTCTCTAATTCTAACGGGCATGTTTGTATCAATAGTTGTTTGCTTACAATAATGTGTTATCATTTAGCTGAATACGTGCATAAGTTGTACAGCAATTCTGGCAGGAAATATTCGGTTAATTATAGACGATCATGAACGGCATTAAGTATAAGGATTAGCAAAAACTTTCCATCAGTGATCTTTTTTCTATCTATCTATATCCGCACATGTTTTTTCTCGTTTCGATGGGTGGTTTAGTTGTTGTTAAGCGTAAGGCTACACAATGGGCTTCTGTGCTCTTCCCCGCTGGATGTAAAAGACAGATTAATAAAATTCAGCCAAGTCTTCAAGTATTTGAATTAGGGGATGCATTAAAGTTAGACATCTTTAATTAAGGTCGTCAACCTTAAAAGACTGGTACATTTTAAAACATTAAAATCCGCTCTTCGGTATACTCAAAGCGTATAACAAGGGGCGCTAGTATAGCTTTGTTTGAAGTTAAGCACTAAGCTATTGAATGAATTATCTGTGCTCTTCCCACCACGGGTATCGAAACCCGAATTCTAGCGTTTTAAGTCGCAGACATACCGCTGTGCCAATGGGGGGCTCTTGTATAGCAAATAACTAATGAATTAAGTCGTTCGTTTACGTAAACTTTATGAACATAAAGTGTTTGATTATTTTGTATATGTTATCTGAATGCTGTATATTAATTTGATTTGATCTATAGATTAAATTTTTGAGTGTGAATCTAGACGCACTAGCAACAGAGGATGTTAATAGAACTATACAAAACTAATAGAACTATACAACACTGATAGAACTATACAAAACTAATAGAACTATACAAAACTAATAGAACTATACAACACTGATAGAACTATACAACACTAATAGAACTATACAAAACTAATAGAACTATACAAAACTAATAGAACTATACAAAACTAATAGAACCATACAAAACTAATAGAACCATACAAAACTAATAGAACCATACAAAACTAATAGAACTATACAGCATTAATAGAACTATACAAAACTAATAGAACTATACAAAAGTTTTTGAGATTTTCTTAACTGAAAATGATTGTTTAATTAGACAATTTCGTACGTCATTAACTTAAACATTGTCATTTCGCTACTGAGTTCTCGCATTTCTTGGTAAAATCAACCAACAGACAAGCACAAATTTTTAATATTTTTGGCTCTTTTGGTTGTTATTAAGCACAAAGCTACTGAATGTGCTATCTGTATCGAAACCTGAAATTTACCGTCGTAAGCCTACAGACTTACCGCTGAGACACCAGGGGTGGGGGAGGGGATGGACGCTCTATGGTGAAGCTATTTCTCTTTTGCATAAATACGCATTCTTTAACATCCATCTTGTCTACACACGTGAACTTATTAGGCTATTATATATAAATCAATGTAAGTGTGAAGAATTTAATGAATTGATTACATTTTTTTGCACTTTCACACAAAGGCAAATAAAAAACAACAACCATTCAACAAAATCATTTTGTATGTAAAATAAGCTTTTCGTCCATCGTTGTCGTTTTTCAACAAAATAATTAAACCACAGGCTGACTTGATCATACCCCCCTTTCCCGTGGAGGGGGTCAGTTGTAAGGTTACGTATTTACAACGCTAAAATCCAGGGCTCAAGTCCCGCAAATAACCCACCGTATACCTTTGCGCTGAAAACAAACAAACTTTAAAATATTTGAGTAAAACGACCAATTGTTTAACTCAAGGTATCCTAACTGGTTGAAGGCAAGTGTTTGGATTATCACTTTCAGCTTGAGATTAAGAAAATCTTGGAGATTTGTTAGTTTTATTTAATTACTGATAAAAAAACAGAAGTTTTTCATGTAAGTGTATCAAGAAGTTATATTCAAACCTTTCTTTTTATAGTGGTGTATAAAAGGAAAATGTGAACCGTGGGGCAACAAAAAGTTGGAGGTGATAAAGGGTGGATGGACGGAATGGAAGTTTGGTGATTGTACTTCCGGCTGTATTAAAAATTCTAAAGGAGTAATTAAAGGTAGAAGAACCTGCACAAATCCTAGGTAAGCAATTTGCCAAAACTGGTATTATTTAAACATGTATATACATATTCAATAACCTGTACTAATATCAGGTAACTAGTTGACCAAAAGTATTACTGTTTAAAGATACAACGATCTTCACTAATCGTTGGTAATCACTTAAAAGATACATATAAAGATACAACAACCTACGCTGATCCCAGGTAACCAGTTTACTAAAAGTGGTACTATTTAAAGATACAAGAACCTCTACTAATCCTTGGTAATCAGTTGATAACAAGTGGTATTATTTAAAGACACAACCTACGCTGATCCCAAGTAACCAGTTTACTAAAAGTGGTACTATTTAAAGATACAAGAACCTCTACTAATCCTTGGTAATCAGTTGATAACAAGTTGTATTATTTAAAGATACAACCTACGCTGATCCCAAGTAACCAGTTTACTAAAAGTGGTACTATTTAAAGACACAACCTACGCTGATCCCAAGTAACCAGTTTACTAAAAGTGGTACTATTTAAAAATACAAGAACCTCTACCAATCTTTGGTAATCAGTTGATAACAAGTGGTATTATTTAAAGATACAACCTACGCTGATCCCAAGTAACCAGGTTACTAAAAGTGGTACTATTTAAAGACACAACCTATGCTGATCCCAAGTAACCAGTTTACTAAAAGTGGTACTATTTAAAGATACATTTGAAGAACAATCATCTGCATTAATCACAGGTAACCCGTTTACTAAAATTACTACTTTTTAGAGATATAAGAATCTTCATTAATACCTACTAATCGGTTTACCAAAATATTTTTAATTTTGGTCGTCACATATTCATGTGTAACACAAATGAAATATTTTAATTACACATAATTGAATTAAAACACTTATAAACAAAGTATTCAATCTTTGATAAGTTGTTTAGACAGAGTATTCATAATGAATCTAAGTTTCAAATGGACAGCAACTGCTTGTTGTAGAAACCTACAAATGTAGAGGACGACCTGAAGACGAAAGGCGGAAGACTTTCGAAACGTCGTCCTCTACAGTTGTAGGTTTCTACAACAGG